CCCCAAAACCCCAAAACCCCAAAACCCCGTGATGATCTAAATAGTTCAATATTAGGAAATAAGACAATAATGTACAGTAATAAGCAAACATTAATATGTGGAAATAGTAAATTATTATCAATACTTATAAAAGATAAAATGAATAATCTTGTGTAAAGAAAATTCTAGTAGGCCACCCTCAAGTATCTTTTGAACCCTTAACAAAGATTGTTCTTTGTGCATCACTAGAGAATCATGATGCCATCTACTCTTAATGCTCAGCTCTAGACCTACCAAATGAGATTCTTTTCTAATAACCAAGGTCATAATCATGATGACCATGATCATGAACACGATCATGACAATAGCCACAAGGACTTCCAACCAAAGAAGAAAGTATAATTGGATGAGACCCAACTTAACTAGTAATTCAAAGAGTGGATCGAAGGAAATGACGTCGTCCTATTTATGAAGGGAAACAAGAAGATGCCCAGATGCGGATTCAGCAACTACATAGTGTCAGTAATGAAATTCTACGGTATCAAGGAATACAAAGATGTAGATGTGCTTGCAGATGAAAATGTCAGAGAAGGCATTAAGAAGTTCTCAAACTGGCCAACAATCCCATAATTGTACGTTAAGGGTCAATTCATCGGAGGGTGCGATATTGTGAAAGAAATGCACCAAGATGGAAGCTTTGAAGAGCTCATAGTCAGAGAAGGCATTATTAAGAAATGATCATGTTAAAGATAATTGCTTATTTAAACTTTTAACAATTAAAAATATTTGTCTAAACTTTGATATATTAATTGAGTTTAATGCATTAAAGTCGATTGACTAGGCTTGGAAATAAAGTATGTACAATGTTCCCTCTGCAGCCCACGTCACGATAAAAGTAGTGATCTCAGAGATCTTTGATATTCTCAATCTTGCTTGAGTAATTTTTCATTTCTCTATTCCAAAGAGAGTTTTTCATTCAATTTCTTATTGAATTCTTCTTGTTATTTCTGATGAGCTTCCTTCGCTTCTTTTACTTTCTCCATGAACTAGTAGAAGACTTTGTTCTAGCCAAATATGGTATCCCAAAGGCTGAAAAATGAGGAATAATTCCCAATGTTATGTGAATGATGGAAATTGTGGTATGAGGCTGAAGTTGAGAATGGGATTAATCTGTAAGGACTCCATGAGAATTCGTATCCAGAATGCCCATCAAGTGATTCTCCAAGTCTGACCATAACCCATACTAGATAGGTGGTGAAATGCATGTTATCACCAAGTATCATAGCTCCCACTGATCCGGGAATCACTGAGCCAATAATGAAATCTATAGGGTGAGAGTACTCAGCAGCTATACCGATTGTAGTTCTGTATTAGTGATGCACCTTATGGAAATAAGGATAAATCACTCTCCAGTGTAAAAATCTGTGGATAAGATGGAAAGTGAGGTCTTCGCATATCATGCAAAAAGCCAAAGTAAACATGATAGTCATTGAACCTGGAAGATTTTCAACTCCAAATTGCAAGTCTACTTAGAAATTCTTAAGCCACAAGAAGGCGTATATTGTAATTGGGAGACTGACAAAGTTGTTGAATGATACAAGAGCAATAGATTTCTTCAGCATCTTCATCCATTCTCCTTTGTTCTCAACCCAAGGCCATGGATCAGTACTAATTTTATATCTCTCGAAAAAGGGGAGTTAAATTTCGTAGATAGCCCACATTGCTAGGTTAGTAATAATAATCATGAGAGAGTGCCATGCCAAAGAAACATAGTAGTAGACTTGCCATTTTTCCCAGCCTTAAGATTTAACGAGATCCATAAATGGAGGCCACAAGTTCTGAATTGCTATTGGACTTATGAGCATAAATGAAAGCCAGATTAAAGAAGCAAAGATAAGCCCATACCCCTTTCTTTTGTATCTACTCTCCTCTGACAATAAAACTGAGTAAATGTCATGAGGCGGAGGTGTTGAACAAGTAGTTGATGTTGTAGAACCAACTGATCTTTTCCTGATGCTTTACATTGAGGATTCGTAAATTATTTGAAATTACAAAAGTATTAAATTGGACCTAAGCAATAATATTGGGATCATGTAATATGTACTAAGATTTCAAAAATTCTTAAAGATTTGATGAAATCTTCGTCAGGGGTTTTGGGGTTTTGGGGTTTTGGGGTTTTGGGG